TAGTGGTAGTGGTAGTGGTAGTGGTAGTGGTAGTGGTAGTGGTAGTGGTAGTGGTAGTGGTAGTGGTAGTGGTAGTGGTAGAAGTAATATTTAGCAACTATCTTACTGCCTTTATTGTCTGCATGTAATAGGAGTTAATAGCTGTTGAGTCAGTTCTTTACATTATTATTGCATGTTAATTTCTTTATTATACTTTTAATTACTGCGGAAGATATCATTGCCACCTCTGGCTACTCTGTGGAAATTGTCTATTACTGTTGAGGCGTGTTATAGCTGAGATACGAGCTCGTATATTACTTTGGGGTACATTAGTGCAAGTGAAATTTAGTTCGGTTACAGATTTTATGTCTATAATAAAAATTTCTTGAGATTCCAATCGACATCGGCGTGGTACTAAGAATGTTCATTGATAACGGGAGACGTAGCAATGACGATTCTTCATTCACCAGAGTGAGAGAGAGACTTAGCCAAATACATTTCTGGTTCGGACCTTGAGGCACAATAAAAAGCGACACTCTGGTATTGGGAATTCATGCCGTTACTGCTTTTTACCAAGAGAGAATCAATTTTTCATTTGTCCACTGTTTTGCTGAGCGTCGTGTTGCCGTGGTTCACACAATTATAGCGTGTCTAGGTAACGCGTAAAAAATGCTAGCGCATCATAGACTGTCTCTATCTAAATGGTTATTATGAAAATTAATTAAAGCGATAGACTAATGAGCGCTGACACGTCTATGACGCAAATTGCGATATAAAATCCGTTATTTTCAATGTAATAGCTACAGGCGATTCGCGACTCATATTGCGTTTTAAATGTCAAATTTGTGCTTTGTCACATCGCAGCAGTCGGCTTCCCGGCCGCGCAGCCTTTCAGTTGAAATTATTGCGAGCAGATCGATCGAGCAGAAGTGCCCACGAGTGTACGAACATTTTAAGGCACATTATATAGTGGACGCATGTAGTCAGATGTCAATCGACTTCTGATAGAATAGCTGACACGTGTGCTCGCCGGGTAATTACAACTCATGATATCATTATAGCAGAGACCACACGCGCTCGCGTCCTTCCTCTGTCCTATTAGGAATTGCTGACTAACAAGGTAGCGGATGTAAGTTGCAAATTACACCCGCAGCGGCGCATTGACAAACAAGCGTTTTACTACTACAAGGAGGAATCACGCTATCGCGGCCACTAATTAGTATCAGCCACTATTTTCTTCTCCCAGCGGCTAATCTTCTATAAACAGCATAAGAAGACTCTGATGGATATCGTGCATTAATTAATATTTTATCGCTTAATTTTTGACACCAGCATCCAAAGAGACATGATACAAGATTGCGTGGCACAGCTTTGCTGTAGATCCTGAGCGCTGCGCGCGGATGAGACGCGCAGTTCCGCGGGATATGCGCACGCGACCGCGGGGATGTTCAAGTATGAAGCGCTGCCCGCAGTGGAGACGTGCGCCAAATTCGAGGCCCGGCGCACGTCTCCACAGCGGTCAGCGGATGGTCTGTCGTTTTAGATGATGACAATGATTATATATTGACGATATTGTAGGAATTGGAGATTATAAAACCGTAACAAAAATGGTCAGTCATTCTCCAGATTAGCTGAATCAAAAAGATTCGAATTTAATAAGAACAAAACAAATACAATGGTTATAACATTCACAAACAAAGAAAAGATAGAGAATTTCATAGGCAACCATGCAAGTATTAAAAAAATGCACCAAATATTCATACCTAGGGGATTTAATTAATGATATTGGAGGTTATAACGATATGATAAGAGTGCGAACTTAAAAATGTAGGTTCATGATGAGTGAAATATTATCGTGGCCAGAAGAGCAAAATTATGGAAATCATACTATAGAAGCAAGAGTAAAATTATACGAATGCACAGTTTGACCTTCCTTCCTAAATAACAGTGAAAGATGGACTAACTTAACTAAGGAAGAAGTAAAAATGTTGGAGGATTTCCAAAATGAGTGCCTGCACAAAATAATAATCACGTAGAAAATCTACCGAAAGGCATTGAAAGACGATGAAAACTCCAAGGAAAGATACGGAGAAATCAGTAAAAATAACATATAGTTTCTATACGTAAATTGTGGTAAATACATATAAAAACACATTATTTTATTGAAAATTCCCATATTTACTTATAAAACATCCAAGAGATGGCGCTGTGGCATGTAAACATCTCGGATTTGCCTCCGAGCATTAATTGTGTGTGTTTTATTTAATTGTTTAATGAATGACGCACTCGTTCACTTTCGACAGCAAGTAAAAATGCAGAACATTTTCCTGTTCGATTCGAAATACATCGGCCGGGCATTTCTTTATTTACAAAAAGAAAACAGGCTGGGGAAAGGAACCGGTCACGTCGGTGACGCCCCATTCATGTCCATCAACGAAGAAGGCGGGGCTTATTGTGTTTACGGAGATGCGAAAATGAAAGAAAAGAACTTAGCACTGTGCGCAAAACAGCGTGTTATTTTCGTTTTTGTGCCAAACTCTATCGGAAAAAGAAAAAAAAAACAAGAAACGCGTTCAGCCTAGCAGAATGCCCTAGTTCGGAGATCGGCGATCCGTGTCGCAATAGGTATTAGAGCTGGAAGTCAGTGTATAAAGGCGGCGTAGACTGTGATTGGAAGACACAAAGTGTCAATCCTCGGCGAGCGCCTCGGATTCATGCCGCGTTACGTCCAGGAACAAGTGTCCGCAACAAGTAAGCATGTTGGCAATGATTGCTGTTGACAACTGTGATTCATAATCAATCATTTAGCGCAATTTGGCGCGCGCGCACACGCACGCGCGGCACACGCATCCGCACACACACATTACGCACACGGCGCACGCGCACTGCACGCACGCACGCACGCACACATCAGGCACCACAACACACAGCACACACACAGCACACACACACAACGCGCACACACACAATAGGCTGCGTATCAAGAACAAGAACAAAACCGGGATGCTAATCGCGATGAAATACGCCGGATAAATGTGTCGTTGTCACACCAGGTGCGAATAATCGCAGAGCTAAATCGCCGAGCGGGATAATTCTATTAATCCAAACTGCGCACTGCTCACTGCCGGAAATGATGCTCACTGCGCATGGCTCGCGCTTGCTCACTCGTCTTGGAATGATGGTATGGAAATACGGGACTTATTTTGCGCGAATGGTTCACACACGCAAATAATCGCGGCTTAACTTCATAAGCGAGCGTTCACCACACGCAAAATAATCCGGCTTATTCCAAATAATCGCAGTCAAAAGTGCGATTTGGAGCGCGATGCTGATCGCGATTGAAAAACCGGGATTTGCATCCCGCTTATTCGCGCCAGTGTGAACGCGCCTAATGACAATTTTCCAGTCGCAGACAGTCGCAGACCCGTCGCAAGGCCGACCTAAGCGCCGACAATTTACTATTACTATTTACAATAAACAACGGCTAGTAATGTGTAAACAACAATGTGCTACACAGTGTTGCATCCTATAGTAAATTTCCGCCAACAAGAGATAATGTAGAAGTAGAAGTAGCAAAGCGCGCGGAGATCGAAGAGAAGAGAGTATGCGCGCGCGCGCGTGTGTGTGTGCGTGTGCGTGTGCGTGTGCGTGTGCGTGGTGCGTGTGGCGTGTGCGTGTGCTTGTGCGTGTGCGTGTGCGTGTGCGGTGCGTGGTGGCGTGTGCGTGTGGTGTGTGTGTGTTTGTGCGCGCGCGAGTGCCTGTGTGTGTGGTGGTGTGTGTGTGTGTGTGTGTGTGTGTGTGTGTGTGTGTGTGCGTGTCTGTGTGTGTGGCGTGTGCGGGTGCGTGTGCGTGGCGCGTGCGCGGCGGCGTGCGTGTGTGCGTGTGCGTTGTGCGTGTCTTGCGCTTGTGTGTGCGTGTGCGCGCGCGCGCAGCGCGTGTGTGTGTGTGTGTGTGTGTGTGTGTGTGTCGTGGTCGCCTGTGTGTGTGTGTTGTGTGTGTGTGCGGCCTCATGTGCGCCGTGTGCGTGTGCGTATGTGTGGCGTGTGCCGTGGCGTGGTGCGTGTGTGTGTGTGTGCGCGCGCGCTGCTGTGTGTGCGTTAGAGAGAGAGAGAGCGAGCGACAGGAAAGAAAGAAAAGAGAGAGAGAGAGAGAGACAGAGAGAAAGAAAGAAAGAGAGAGAGAGAGAGAGAGAACAGAGAGAAAGAAAGAAAGAGAAATAGAAAGAAAGAGAGTGTGAGGGATAGACAGATACTAGCGAGATGGTTATTTCTTAAGTCTTAAACAAGTGCCGCAGAGCGACAGCGCTCACTGACGTGTACTGTAGCCAGGTATTCTTCTGATAAACTCACTGCAACCGAATCAAGTGCGCCCTCCTGCCACGCGCGTTCGCGCTCAGAGCATATATCTAGGATACTACTAATGTACAGAATCCTAAATCTATAATAGCTTTGCTATACCTACTGGTAGTACAGTAATAAAGATACAGCTGTGTAACCTTTAATGACTTCGCTATATTAACATGTTACATGGATATGCCGTCGACGCCGAGCGTAGTGTGGTGGTGGGGAGGGTGGGGAAGCGCGCTCGCACCGCGCCGAAGTCGCGGGGAGGCGCCGAGGGGACGGCGGTCAGTGGACAGGCTCTAATAGAAAAAGCAGTTCAGTCCTTTGTTAACAGTCAACAAATCCATGTTTAACCCTCTTCTTGAGGGTCAAAAGGTTATCAGACACTTACTCTTCGCTCGTCAGCGGAAAGTAGATTTCATGGTCCTTTCAATAAAGGATATTGACCCTCCATTGACACATCTAGACCTTTGACCCTTGACTCCCCAAATTCGACATCCCGAGTCCTTTTCGCGACCCCCCCCCCCGACGTCCCGAATATCAAGACCGTACGTCGAGCGGTTAAGATTTGTGCCCAACTGTTGACGGACGGACGCACGGACGCACGGACGGCCGGACGGACAATCATGCGATTCTACAAGCTGCTGACTTCGTCAGCTGAGCTAATAATAAATACACTTACATGGGTTTCAAGCTGCTATGCGGGTTCCGCCTTTGTTTTCAAAATATGTGGATGGTATATGTGGCCGCAGCATCATGCAATGAAAAACGATATGTTAATGAATGGATGGTTGCTAATTATACGTACGAAAAATTCATTTCATAGCTTTCCAACGCTCCGATGCGTAACTAATAGCGCATCAATATTATTAAGCGTACATCCACGTATAATATTTAGTGCCAATACCCGTACATAAGATGGCTATAGCGATATGCAAGAATATGCTAATAACATAATTATATATTCTCTACTTACAGCGGACTGCTGCTGCTTTTGGTGAAGCTGCGTATTATTCTTGTGACATTCGGTGTTGCAAGTAATACCTGGTCGGATAAATCACAACATCACAATTTCAGGACCGGCTACTAATTTTTATCGTGACATCTAATTTGCTTTTCCGTAAATTAAACGTCTTAGTGCACAAAGAAAGCGTTTATTTAATCCATGTGTAGACTATAACACTTCTATGCATAGTATTCGTTATTTGTGTTTCCGATCTAACAACAATTGAGGGCATACATCCGGGAAACAAGAGTGAGGAACTAACAGACGTACATGCATCATGGCAGACGAAAATCAACATGTTAACAAGGAGACAGGTTGTGAAGAAGCCACGATTAGATGTCCCACTAACAATGATCTATATACACGTAATCGGGTAGCTGCTTATAAGAAGACATTACATTAAGTGAGCCAATCGTGTTCTCTCCGACCATCTGAAGAGCAAAGCTGAGCCGACATTCTGGTCCGCTGCCTCCATACCACGGACTAATCAGTTGAACCTGGATATTCGCCTTGTACGCTAGGTACATGAAGTGTCCTGTAACACACAAAGTTCAGCTATTAGTAGGATAAGCGCAATAGCAAATACGCAATTATATATACAGCATTGAGACATGTATATATACATTTTGTAATGTGGACACAGAGTTACTGGCTAAAATACACGACTTCGTATTCAGATATTTATCTATTATATATTCCAACAGAAGAACTTTCATTGACAAATTATCGAGAGACAAAATACTATCCAAGGTAGATTTAGCCAAAAGGGAGGTCTTATGGGGGATGTGCTCACTACGATATTCTGTGAATGGATGTTGTCCAAAAAGACGTCGTCCGCAAAACTGCTCTGAAAACGCACGTACTTGTTTGATATCTGCTGTAATTTAAAATGAATTTTCGCTTACTTTAATTACCGATGACATTATATGCTGCTTGAAAAGCTAATCTGCCAGTACGTTCAAATTAATTTAGCCTGCAGTGGTTTAACACGGGGGTATGCAGCTGTGTATAATTGGCCAATCGAACTCGTTATTTCCCGCTCGCGGCATCGGTTCATTCTAGCTATTACTGCAGTATTCTATGCATGCGCGCAATCATACCTCGCACGTCATTACATTACGTTACATACGTATTTACGTGATTATATATATATATATATATATATATATAGAGAGAGAGAGAGAGAGAGGCGAGTAATAACGAGACAGTACTAAATGTTCTTTCAGTAATCTTTAATTGATCGCCCACGTTAAAAATCTACGCGTGGCAATTCACGAGCAAAAAAATGGGCTAATATTCATCACTACATATCTGAGAACGCAATTCTTTAATCTATCTGCTCATCAGCAGAAATTAATATGAAATTAAATTATCCGATAGAACGACGAATCGAGAACGCGTAGCCTAATTACCTGGAAAATAATAATTCCGCAGCTGTCACCTCAGCTCGCGGCGATTCGCACTCGAGATTAGCTACGACATCGGCAGGCATTCTAGCAAAAATCGTGCGTCTATCATATGCCCAAGATTATATTTTGTTAATCGTGATTGCTGTTATAACTTCAGCGAGTGAAACCTTAACGTTGGTATACCCCACCTTGGACAGGTCTACTACTTCTGCAACGATAAGGCTACCAAACAACAATGTAGCGCTTTCCAGAGCAGGGCCAAACCTGGTGATGGATTGCGATGATGAATCTAGTTAGTATAATCCTAGCAGTCAGTTCTTATATTGCATCTGTTTAATTGCTAGCCTGCATGCAGGCCAGGAAAACTAATTGGTAGTTTAATTTCGCACGGTTCACTGCAAAAGTGGTTATTACCATTCGATCAGAATCTAATTCAGAATCAAATCACAATTTAATTACGTTATAAAACACAGTCTGATGAGGAACAAACACGCGGCGGGATTTCTACGCGATTCATTGACGTTTATTCAGAAGAAACCCTGTTTTATCTATCGTAACAGGTACTTTTTGAATAAATTTTTCGTGCCTGCTGTCTAATTAGCCTATTAGTTTAGGGTGTGGATATATCTCATCTAGTTTTGACAGACGCGCAACTTCGTTTCTTGTGATAGTGAAATCCGCCGTCTAGTATTTATGTATAGACGTCATGTCACGCTGTCTTCGTGCATGCAGTAATGTAGTCTGTAGATGAGAGCTAACGGTGTGTCAGCTAAAAGCCTACTGGAAGGCGCATTGTACTGCAAGTGAAGGATTATCCATTTGAGTGCAATTTCACCACGAGGCACTGCAGCGTTACGGTAGTGTTAAGAAGGCGCGACCGTGAGGCAGATTGCTTGCCTGGAGCAAAGATGGCCAATTAGCAAAGTTGTTACTACGTGACAGCTTCGGGGGTCTACACCGACTGCTAGTCAAGTACTTGCGTTCAAATTTCGTGCGAAGTATTGTTACATTGCAATACACCGATTGTTAAAATGTTAATTTGTTAATTGTTAGTTGTTTAATTGTTGTTACACGGTCAAACATTGCAGATGCTATAGTTATGGATAATATGTAGATGGTGATGGCAGGTTGATCATTGCATTGGCGAGTTTTACAACTACTCTAGACAACCCAATTGATGTCCTCTTTAGTAATTAGAGACGTTAGGTATGCGAGAGTACATTAAAGCATATCTCGCGTCCTAACCTATGCTAAAATCCGAAAAAGAAAACGACATTTTTGCAGAACTACCTCAGTGTGTTTCATGTGTACTGTGCCATTACCACGTGCCCATGTAACAATTGTAGTGATGATTGTGCGTGGGGTAGGGGAGGGGGGAGTCTCCCCTGGCTATCTGCCACGATATTATAAGTCTTTCTGATAACACTCAAATCGGCATTCAAAGAATAAAGTTTCGAAAGCACTTCCCAGGGAAGACGAAATTACATCCTGATGGTGAAAAAAAGCTGGGTGTTTGTGCGCTGACTGGCAATCTTAGTGGCGAGATAAGAGAAGCAAGCAGACTAGAGATAAGAGATAAGAGTAACTCGTGGAGATCAAGCACAGCAGAGAGAAAGCTACCCCGTTAACAACAGTCGCCACTGCCGCGGAGTGGAGCTAGGCAGACGACCATGTTTGCTCCGCGACAATAACCACACCAAATCACTAAAAATGCTCTCAGCACACTGATGAAAAGCATTTATGGAAACAGCTTGTACGCCTGGCGTCGGCTACGTTTGAGTAAGCATGTATAAGACAATCGGCGCATGAATGTTAGCGCAATCACAAATAGATGCAACACTCCTGTTACAAAAACAGAGTTGATGATGAAAGACTGGCTTCATTTTACGAGGGGTTGAAGGCAGTAATGAATCCATGTGACTCCAGAGAGAACCAATGCGTTACTCGTTTAATTGTGCTTTTCCCCTAATGGTTTCCCCTGATTCCAATAATAGCTTGCCCAGAGTTTTTCCGTCAAGAGTCCGGGTTAAATTTACTACGTCACGAATTTTCTAAGGTGTATTTTGTAAAAATGTTGTTGCCATTTTTTACATTGAAAGTAAGTACTAACGGGACTAAATTTATCGTCAAATTCTTACCTGATAAGATTGTTTCTCAACTAGTTAAAAATCCAAAAAAACCTGGACGATTTCATAATTATTATCCTGACATTAATTGCTTGCTATGGGCTATGTATGAGTCACGCGTGTATGTTTACATTGAACAATATAGTAAAATAGGAAGTATAATACAGCGATTTAACCATAAAAAGTGAACGTGAAAAAGTGGAAATATTTTTTTAATTTTTACTATTTACAGTGACGTAATCACTTTAATTAGGGTTACCGAGATTCGTGATACACTGCTCCTTGCGGAATAACAGCGAGATGTGAGGTAATTCAAAAAAAACGGAAAATAACATAACTTTGCTGTGCTGACCTGATCGAAGATAATGCATCGAACGAGTAAAAACAATCAATAGCGTATGCGGATACAGAACAGCAAACACATCATTAAATTCTATATTTCGTATACCCTACTAGAAGCGCGCAGTGATGTTTTATCCCATTCTTACGATTAACTCAACGATGGTTATCACGGTCGATCAATGTAGCAATTTCGTAGTTTAAGTTCACTCCTCTGGCGCCTACTCATTGAGGTAGCGTCTTGTCTTATTGACCACTATTACGATGCAAGTGTCACGTTGCATCTCGAATCCCTGTATTCGAAACACTATAATCGTCAAAGACAGGCTCATAAGGAATCTCGAACAGCGCCAAGCGTTTATTTAGCAGTTGGTCAGCCAGATACAGTCTCCTCACACGGGTAGGTGGCAGTTTCAATAGTATCGACTAGCTCGCCTGTTTCAGAATCTGTACCAGCTTCAGCCCGTTTAACCTTAGTCAATCTAACGTTTCGTATGGCCTGGAAAATTGATAGAAAATTGAGTTCATGAAATATACATGGAATATGTATTGGTATCACGTATTGTAGTGGCTGATAAAACAAGTTGCTAGGCTATATTGCAAAACACTTATTGACAAAAGAAAATTATAAACATAACGACAGAACATTTGTAAAATGATTATATGCATCATGCACAAAGGTTAATCAACCTTTATATATACATATCGGTCGGGCGATAACATAGGCATTTTCTGGCGATATACAGTTGGCTAAATAAGCTTTGAGGTTCTTAGCCCCGTGTATAAGTCGCATCACGACTTTTTATATTGAATTTAGGTACAAAAACATGCTACTTGTGCACAAGTATATATGGTAAGTTATGATAAGACTAGATTATAAGAATCCAAAAGTGCGGTCATTTGTTGGAAATACGAGATCAGGTCTTCAGATAGACAAAGCTCTATATACTAATAATGAGCAATATCATCTTGGTGGTGACAGGTTATGCTATACTAGCTGTTGCTAATCGATGGGAAAGATACAAGCCATGTCGTCCATAACGCCTGCTTTGGCGGCTTCCCACATTCATGTTTCCTAAATCGACAAGCCTTGCCGCTTGTACGCGAGGATTGCACGCGAGGATTGTACGCGAGGATTGCACGCAAATGGGGTGGATCTATGTTTGTTTCTATATCGTCCGCAATGATATAAGGTTTGCATCGTAAAGCGCTCTAATCGTCGGTATTTGTGTTGCGTCCATTTATTTTGATTGGTGATTTTTAACCGACTGCCGCAGACAGACTAGAGTGGCCACTGTCTAGTGACTCCCCTGTTCTTACCTAAATGTGCCACGTTTCTGCCATAAGTGCCTTACGTGGCTTTCCGCACTCCCATATTCTTCCATTACTCCCATGACTAGGGAATAGTTCCCTGCTCACTGGCGCCCAACTGCGACCATAATGATGGCTTACCGCAAACAGAATGCTTAGTATTCTTCTCATAACTGACGCCAATTAAATCAGTGCTAATCGACAGATGTATATGCTGACAGCCTTTTGGTAGAGTGCTGTTTCTATTGACTTTACAGCAATTTTTTTCCGTGGTTGAACACGGTCAACCAGCATTTGTGGGACTAAATACGAGACTATTTAGTGAGCTACTGAGAGCTAATACACCAAAG